TGCACAGAAATTCGAATTTTGAGTTAGAATCGTCAATTTTGGAGTATTAGGGTGAAGAAATGCTGTAAAATTGATTTTTAAAGCATAAAAAGCTGAAAAGTGACATTTTTTTGTGTCAAAAATCTAGAATTTATGCATTTTCAGACCTAAGAATTCCAAAAATTCGATTTTCGGCATCTACCAAAGCCACAACGTCTTCCAACTTTTTCCAGATGATACCGTAGCCGAATCTACAGTAATCCCGCCCTTCTTGTCACCGGAAATTTGAATCGCCGCCTCTCCCAAGTCGGATTTGAGCTGTGCCAAGTGCTCAGCCAGACGGGACCACGAAACCGATAGATTCCATAGTTTTTGACGTTTTTCCGAGTCCAACACCACCTCGTTCCATGGTTGAAGCGTTCGTTCGCGGCTGAAATAATTTTCAGCAGTTTTTTGAACGGGGGGGGGGGGCGGAAAATTTGAATTTTAGAGATTTTTAAAAGCTTAAAATCGATCTCTTTCCGGAATTTTTTTTCAGCCTTAAAATATTCTGCTATAATTTAGTACGAAAAAAAAACAGTGAAAACAGTCAGGGGAGGGGGATGGGGGAGGAAACTGATAAAATTGATAAGACGAATTTCTTTCTTCTACGACATACGACACAATCTCATCATGATGACGTGTACTAAACACCCTCAGTTTGGGCAGCCTGTTTCCGTTGGCACCGTTACATTTCGGAACCGCTACATTTTAAAACCGTGACATTTTGGAACTGTTTCAGACAATTTTCAGGCTACGGGACGTTTCAGACCCGCTACATTTTAGAACTGTGACATTTCAGAACCGCGACATTTTGGAACCGCTACATTTTAAAACCGCGACATTTTGGAACTGTTTCAGCCAATTTTCAGGCTCCGGGACGTTTCAGAACCGCTACATTTTAGAACTGCGACATTTCAGAACCGCGACATTTTGGAACCGCTACATTTTAAAACCGCGACATTTTGGAACTGTTTCAGACAATTTTCAGGCTCCGGGACGTTTCAGAACCGCTACATTTTAGAACTGCGACATTTCAGAACCGCGACATTTCGGAACTGTTTCAGACAATTTTCAGGCTCCGGGACGTTTCAGAACCGCTACATTTTAGAACTGCGACATTTCAGAACCGCTACATTTTAGAACTGCGACATTTCAGAACCGCTACATTTTAGAACTG